TTTCACTGTAATTTTCTTCAACTGAATTAARACTGAAACATATAAGCTTCACCATCTGCTAAATTATGCTGATTTCATGAATGACAACTGCCATTGTTCCAACTGACAAAGAATAACAACTGTACAAGGAAAGAAAGCTTTTCAGGTTGGRTTATGATTAAGGATTTATTCTGATCTTGACTACTGTCTAAAACAAAAATAGAATGCTGACAAAAGGCATACTCAAGCAGCCACAGTACAATAAGAGGAAACAATTCATTTAAACTTGTAATGTCTRAAGTCATATTTTTGACTGATCGTTAATCATCTTAATAAAAAGTACACGGGCATTATCTTACCTCATGTATTTCCTTGACCGTRGTATTGTAATTTTTCTTCGAAAGTTCTTTGACGGCAGATGAGATTTGCCCCAACGCTAGGGACAATGGATCGCCCGCGCTCATAATTTGCGTCGAACAGAAATTTCAAAAAGTCAGTAAATCCCTTAATAAATCGATTGTCAACTAATCACTTCTACGCTAAGTAGATACATCATCTAGTTTATAATCGAGCTACATTTGAATGGAATTAGTTTATAAGAAAGAGGTAAAATACGTTCTTTATCAGACCTCCCTTTTCCGACAAATAAAAATGGCGACTCCACGCCGTAATCGATCCCGTCATGCACTGCGGTTAGTCAGCGGAAGTAACTCGGGCATGCGCATARCCGAGAGGGAGGCGGTCGGAAGTTCAGCCATCTTTTAGGGGAGAGAGAAAGTTTCAGCAGTTTTAAAGATCTATAAATCTACACAAAATGGCTGCAACTTTAAGACCTTATCTCAACGCTGTCCGTTCAACACTCACGGCTGCCATGTGCCTAGAAAATTTCAATTCTCAAGTGGTCGAAAGACATAACAAACCCGAAGTTGAGGTGCGCAGTTGCAAAGAATTGTTGCTCACTCCAGTAACCATCAGTAGAAATGAAAAGGAACGAGTGCTCATAGAGGGCTCAGTAAATTCATTACGAATMAGTATTGCTGTGAAACAAGCCGACGAAATTGAGAAAATCCTCTGTAAGAAGTTTATGCGTTTCATGATGATGCGTGCGGAGAATTTCTTCGTTTTACGACGCAAACCAGTCGAAGGATTCGACATCAGCTTCCTCATCACCAATTTTCACACCGAAGAAATGTTCAAACACAAACTAGTGGATTTCGTCATTCAATTCATGGAGGAAATCGATAAGGAAATCAGTGAGATGAAGCTCACTTTGAATGCAAGGGCTAGAATCTGTGCWGAAGAGTTCTTGAAAAACTTTTAACAGCCATTATCAAGACATTAAGAGACATTAAACTACTAAAGACCTTGTTTATATCAATTTTAAATAGTACTTAAGTTCAGAGACGGTATAAAGAATTCAYAGACAGAACGGCTACTCAAGATATTTTGATAGCATTTTTGTACATGTGATAATCCCAAAATGAATGTAGAAATAAGATATTTTCTTATATTATTGATTACTGTGCTTATAATCTCATAATGACACTAATGTTATTATCAAGGTTACGTACCAATTAATACCTTGTTACTTTTGATATTTTCACGTAAAAATATTGTCTTTTGTTAGTTGTCGTTTACATGTCATGTAATAAACTTCATAAATTTTATAATAAATGTACAAATAGCATAAAGGCAAAAAAGTGTCATCTAAATTGAGAAATATTCTCTCAGACAGGATAATATTTTTATTTCTTTTGTATATTTATTCCATCCCTATAAGTTAATCATTACCAAYTTATCACTATTAGTAACTATTAATGATTATTTACCATTTCATATGCTAAACAACACCTGCGGAATACAATACTTCTCACTCCATTTATTTTTCCATTGTTTAGCATATTGAAATTGGTGTTACATGTAACTGATGTAACATTATCAAAAAGATTTCAATAGACTATTTACATATTAGTACGAGAGGTCCCTAATTCCAATGGTTATTTTGTTGGAATGTTACATCTTTCATTACATTTCCAGGTRAAAAGCACTTACTAAAACCACACATTACRTAAACCTATRAAGACCCTCTTGTTTTGRTATTACTATGAGTATTTGAATATAAGCATTAAATTATCAAATTATTGCATGTATTTAGCATTACATCTTGAGGAATCGCCAGACTGCCAACACAACTGTAGTGGTTGATATCAAACTTCCTGGAAAGATCAAACATCAAGGTTTTCATGTTATTACTTGTATTTAGTGTTTCTCTAATGTTTTCCAGTTTTGTTGTATTATTCATTTACATCACGTTTATAATGCTGCAGCTTATTTACCACTGATAGCCCATTTAGACATTTACTCAACTAAAGCATTGATGACTATTTTGGTTGATTGACAATAATAATAATCAATTCAAMCTGTGACTTTTATCTGGGCTGACCATATTAAATGCAGAGAAAATTACTAACCTACAAGATATCTTATAAGATCTAACTTTTGCTTTTCCATTAGTGTTCCTAGTTTGGCAACCTGTAAAATATTCAACCATGTATACTAACAACATTTTGATGACAGCAGCTTGATAAATGATATTAATTTTATTAATTGAAGCATCAGCATATATAATTAACATAAATATTGACAATAACATCACTCAGTATGTTTCATTTTACTTAGAATAATAGAGGAGCACTTGGGGTAAATGCAAWGGWTGAAATAATTACATTTAATAGTATGTTTCATTTTTCTAAGAACAATAGCTCAAGGAGTATCAGGGGAAAATATGCAATGGTTGAAATAATTACATTAAATCAGACCTACCTCTGTTTCTATCTTGTTGCCATTATCTTTGATTCTTTGATCACGAAGTGCAAACTAAAAGTTAAAATAAAAAAACAGTAAACAAATGTCATAATCATGATCTTTGTGAGGATTCATGAACATCTACCATGGTCCCCTGGTCCCCTGATATATAAAAAGATTACRTCGTCCAAAAGKGGGGGTGCATCYGCACCCAGAGCACCTCCCCWGGATYYGTYCCTGCTCTGAGGGCAAAAWGAAAAGCAACTTCTTTAATAGGGTACATACTAGTCTCCTTGCAGCTGTTTCTATGTCTGCATAATTATTAGAAATAATTTYAAATGATAAAAACACCTACCTCCTCTCTTGCCAAGCTCTTTTCTAAACTCAGATCAAGTTTTGTTGAGCTTTTCAATTTAGAAACTTCTTCCTTGTTTCAAGACAAGAAGAAACACATGAGAGATATCAACAAGTGCAAATTAGWGGACTGTAATGATGTCTAATTATTTTTATGGGGGTAAAACTTACATCAAGCTGTTTTTGTACACCTTTAACTTTCTCTTTAAGTCTCTAAAAGAGTTTGTGATAATGAAACAATTTAGTTGATCCACACAAACAAGAACAAAACCCTAATATCTATGAAATCTCCATTCCTTTTCTGACCTAAAACCAAAAATTATTTATCATTTGCCTGACCTGATCATCTGGCTAGGAATATAACAAATATGCTATTAAAAAAACAACTAATAGGGTTATTGACTATACACACAACTTGAAAACTGACATAATTATTTGATGGATATTAATAATAATATTGTGGGAATGGCATGCTATGTATAAACAACTTTACCTCATTTTCCTCTTTTATTTTTGCAAATTTACTTTSTTCTAGTAGAAACATTTCTTGTCTGAAAAAGAGAATAAGCATGGATCAACAAAGCTTAAATAGATCACTTGGTTTATTGTTCTGCTAACGCAAAGGATAAATTTCTACGGATAATGGTAATGAATGAAAAAGTGAATGGAATAATAACATAACTCACTTGACTTCATTTATCAATGTCTTCAGTTTCATTTCTAACCTCTCCTAGCAATCAAAAAACAAAGCTACACCCCTGAAAGACATTGATACTAAAAGTACTGGATTTCTTTGCAAACCTGATCAATTTTGGATGCATTTGTGTCAGCAATGTTTTTAATGCAATCATTCATTATATCTAACAAGCATGATGTCATTACTTCAGCTTGCTGTTTGGTATAACCTGATAAAAGAAAGTCGGTGTTACTCAAACAGTCAATAACTCAGCATGTCAATCAACCAGTCAGTCAATCAGTATTGAATCAACCTGTCAATCACTCAATGTGTCAATTGTTCAACATGTCGATCAACATGTTAATCAAAAGATAGCATTAGTGGCAACAATCACATACTTATGAGATACATTAATCAGACAATTCAAACAAATCCAAACCCCAAAATGAGATAAAGTCAGACAACATAATTGTATACAAACCATTTCCCTCTAGCCTCGTAACAATGTTATGTGTATCAAAATGAAAAGTGCTCATTGGTGCTGCAGTTCCTTGATGTAATCCCTGTCTCGAGCCTTGAATGGAGTAGATCATATATCAAAGACATTGAAAGAACACGATCTTGAACTAAAGTAGAATGCAGCTCACCTGACAGACCTGATCTTTCGTCCCTATTATGTTGATAACCAACACTTTCACACAAAACACTGTGAGGTCTTGAGCGAATCRYACATTTTCTGACAGCCATGAAAACACATCTATACCTAAAAGAACTGATATCTTTAAAAATATTTTCAAAAAGAAATGTTTTGTTTGAAATGGAATGCATTTTGATCTTCGATCTACGATCTATTAATGTACTAAACAAGAGCCCTCACTATTAACTACCAGCGGTTGCCAACACTAGCWAAGTACTTGGTGTATGAACTACGAAGTATATCTATGTTTTTGTCCGTTGTTCTTTACCACTCTTTACCTTTTATAGTTTGTGGGCACCATTTACTAAATAGAGCGAAGTCAAATTTTACGTATTAAATGATTTCGTTCTACTACACTGATCTTAAATTAAGAAACTTATAGATCGCCTAACATCACAAAATACGAGGGACGGATCCAAGGGGGTCCTTTCCCTCCCCTCATAATTTCTGTGTCCGCCCCATAGGAGCATTATTCAGCAACAGAGGATGCGTCCATAATCCTGACATTCCTCACTTTTACTGAGTGACCTCACAAGCAAACGATCACGTTGGATTTGTATCTTTCTTTGCGGATTCTCATTTAAAGAAACGTTTGGAAAAAAGAGATGAGAAGARCACAGAATCGGAATTTTTATTTAATGACCTAAATCGACACGAAATGTAATGATCCACTCCCTAACAGCCYAGCCTCGTCGGCTTGCGTGAAACACTTCAAATCTTGTGTCAAAGTGAAGAGCATTTCTGTTTTTTTATTTTACATGATAAACTTTAATTCAGGGAAAATATATTAGAGATCTACGGAAGTGCGTCTCAGGAAATTCTTAATTTTCAGCATTGGTGTGTATGTTTTTATACAAATTAAGAACAATATCGAATGAATGAGAGGAAATCCTAAAATTCTCAATTGTTTTAAACGCAAAGATCCTAATGACTTACGTGCATGAACATCATTTGACAGTTATGAAATCGGCTACTTACACAGTTTTAACTTAAAACCTTTGATGGATGAATGAAAAGCAGCGCGCATATGATGAAGAATTTCTTGGAAAATCGTCCCTACCTACACACGTACAGCGCCATAGCGTTATGGCGTACGCGTATGGCGTACGTGTATGATGCACGCAGTCAATTTTCTCTTAAAAGTACTGCCTGAATTCTTCATTTCCCATTCTCTTCTTTTAAGTAATCTCGTTTTCTCTCACTTCTCGTAAGTTCTTGTTGTTTGTCAATGAATTGTGTTCCATGATAGAAACGATTAATCAAATATCAAAATAGCATCAAATGAAGTTTACGCACAGATTGAATGGTTAGCTTCATCACCAATTATCCAAAGGTAGGTCCTCTTGTGTATTTAGATCCGGTGACAGTCTTTGTATAGGGTATACAGCTGCGTCACTCCCCCTCACTCCCCCTACAAMTGCATCTTGTGCTGTCCTACTTCAACTAGTGAGCTGCTGATATAGTATCTCATGCTTAAAAACGATGTCTTTTAAAGTTGTTTTCGACTTGTTACTCATCGCTGTTCTGCTTGGATGTCTTATCGGTAACGTGCTTATTGTTGGAGCCATAGCGAAAAGTAATCGACTCCGTGAGCGCCCAGGAACTTTCATAGTTTGTAGTTTAGCGCTTGTAGATGGTTTGTTTATGCCCATTGGAATCGTCTATCWCTTACTAAACACACTTTCTATTGGATCAGAAGCCTGTAGATTCTTTGCTACATATATCACAATCTTGACCTATGTRTCTATCCTGCATCTACTATTGTTGAGTTTGGATCGCTTTCTSGCTATTGTACGCCCTTTTCGCTACGAAGTGTTGGTGACGCCTTTCAGATGCGCCTACGTTCTAGTTGGCGCTTGGTTTYTGCCTGTGTTCTCTGTCTCTATAGTCCCGTTGTTCATTAAAAGTTATGGAGAAGGACGGAGTTTTCGCGGTGGTTTACTTGGATGTCAAAGCGATTTGAAATCTACAAACGATACTTCGATTTCTTCAGCCTCAATATCATCAGCCCAGCAGAAACACGTTACRATAAACTCCGTACTGATGGTTATCTGTCCGTTTATTGCAATCATAGGATTAAACAGTAAAATAGCATTTATTTCTTACAAACAAGCCAACAAGAATGTCTCCGCAATCGTCCAATTAACAGAAACAGAAAAACAAAAAAAAGAAAAACGCAGCATGGAAATGAAATGGGCGAAAACAATAGGTGAGTTGGGAGACAGTCTATAGTGGTGTATTTTTGTACTGAATCACTCTATTAGCTCTGCCGGCACAGGACTCATTGAAAACGTCACTCCCATTTAAAAAACAATATGAATTYTAGCAATTGAAAGGTTTTAAGTGTCTTAAGTGTAAGATAAATYGACGCACMACCTGGMTGCACTCCAGTTAARACMATTAAAGTGCCAAAAAAGCATCGAGAGTACCATTTATCAAAACAAAATGACCAACAAATACAATCCTCACGAATGTTCAAAGRTTTTTTATCATTTTGACTATGTTTCTCTGACAGCGTGAGTTTTCATAAGTTCTAGACAAATTTGATTGAGATTAGTGAGTGATGGCTCTAACGCATTTATTTGCGGCAATCTGTCCTCTGCTTTTGATAATGATTGGTGCATTTGATTATGACTAAAGTTCTRCATGCATCCAAGAGCCTCTGCAATCGTTTCTTTTGTTGGGAGGTACTTTCTGATTCGTTCAAAATCAAAGATGTTGAATTTTCGTGAGAAAATCGCGCAGATGTTCTWGGATGCACGTGGGCCTTATAGAATGACGTACTATTATTTAACTGAATTTTTATTTTATTTTAGGGATAGTGATTGGCGCGTTTTCTGTGACGTATATCCCATTGTTTGCATGTGTAGCGGTGGAGTCTAGGAAGGGTCAAGGGACCATTCCACAATACGTGTTTAAGTTCTTTGAGTTTTTGATCTTTTTAAACAGTGCTTTAAATGCAATCGTTTACTCAATACGTTGCGAGGAATACAGAAATACCATTAAAAAGATCATTAAAACTGCAATGTCAAGTACATTTGCTAATTTTGGCTCATTGCAAGTTGGCCCAGAAGTAAGTACAATGACGCAAAACTCTGTATTGAATAGCACTAGTTTATCAATGGACAACAACGATCAGCTACCGGAGGGTTCCTTCAACGACTCAGTTATAACAATAAATGCAACAACATGAACAGCAGCCGTCACGACAACAATAAGAACATTGCCAGCTTTTAGAAAGAAGAAAACTCTTGCTTCTGTAGTTTGATTTTTATAAAAAAACACTTGAAACTATAAATAATAATATATAGACTAGTTGGCTACGAATTCAGAGTTCGTCTTGGCATGAKATCAGTTGTATAAATTGACTTTCCTTTCTTGTTAACGTGTGTTACTCGTAGAGATAAAGAACTAGCACTGAACATTGTAAATCCACCAGTTGAACCATAAATAATCCTGTGACAAGATACAATCGATAAATACGAAGTTATACCATGGGCAGTCTAGCCTCCTGTGCAGGCGTTTATCAGTTTTGAGGGGTGATACGATGGTTCAGATGTAACTTGGACATTGTTTATGATGGTAATTTAAGCTGCTCATCATTTTCATTCAAATGTAAATAAAATGTAAATAAAACAAGATGTAAATAAAATGAGGTGTAAAAGATATGAATAATTTAATTCATTAAGGTGTGCCGCTGAAAAGCTTTTTCCGCAAGTTTTACGCCATTATCAATATAATTATAAAAAGTGTACATGTACTTACTTAAGATATTTTCTAAATAAGCGTATTTTTTCAGGATTTCCCATATCATGATAGTTTCCATTACCACTTATAAAGTAGTTGACCGTTTTATCATCTTCTTTTATATGCTAAAAAACAACAACATGTATTGGCATAGACAGCTACCTAAAAAAAAACCCGGACCCACAGAAAACCCATTCGCAGAAATGATACCTGGAAATTGTGATCATGACCACTGACGTAGGCGGTGACGTCATATTTGTCCAGAAGTGGTTTTAAAAATGATAGRAGACATGACGAACCTCCATGAATACCAACAGAATAGATAGGATTATGACCAGCAACTATTAGATACTCTGCCCTACAAAAAGAAATAAAACATACCTGGGTAGAACCCATCATAGTTTTTTAGCGGCTCGCTGTGAGTCAATGAAAGCTATGGAAAAAAATTATACTTCCTATCAACTCCTTCAAGCGTATCAACCCCCCGCACCCCTCCCGGGAGCAAAACCGACTGGGAAAGAATCTGGTATACATGCCAATCACATCCTTAGAGGAGAATGTCAACCTGAGTGGAAATTTGTCGTATTAATTTAATTAATTTGTCACATTAATGCAAAAGATTTTGAAGATTTTAACTTGCAATCTGATCTAAAAATATGAACATGGCTTGTTCTAACATTATCTTTAAGTATCTTAAGTGTGATAATAAATCATTATTACTCCACTTACGTTGAAATACGCAGGGTCTTTTTCACCCATTTTCGATGTTCCTGTTGAGATGGTATTTTGCTTCGATATCTGTTCAGACAACAGTAGTCATGACGACCGAAAACAACTGAAARTGTTGCGCGTGCGCTTTCACAAATTACTGCATCAAGGTGCATGCATGGACAATGTTCAGAAGTTCCCTATTATTTTTGGCCCAAAATACCTCGTTTTAATGCATGCGCCTGCTGCATTAATTTTTTTAATCTACAGGAAGCGGGGAACGAAGTGTCTGAAACCCTTGTTGGCAAAATAAACTGGAGGCAAACACGCRAAGAAAAGAATTAAAACAAAGAAAAACAGTTATCAATTTTTTTGCCACAAACTAATGATATAAACCTATATRTGTGCAACTACGTTGTTGCACTGAAAGGAACGAATTCTTAGTGCGCGCCTATGTTATTACGAGTCACTTAAGTGTTATGTGATATCAGGAGCCCATTACATACTACTTATTRACCGAGAGTGAGGTCATTACAGGGGAATTCCGACCGGTCATTATCTGTTAACAGCCAATCAGAGYGCGCGTACTATCTAAGCCATATAATAATAGGTAGTAATGGGCTCCTGCGGTAATATTGTGAAGAAAAGGGAGACATACTTTCGTTTTGTTGACGAATCTGAACAGAGCAGCTTTGTATCCACGACAACTATTTGAAGAACCGCATTTGACGAAATTCTGTACACTGAAGTAAAAGATGTCACTTTATATGTCATTCTACAGAATGTACATCACGTGACTTCTATAAATAGAACATTCACTGGTTCCACAAAAAGTTCAACAAGTTAAAACAACAGAAAACAACAAGTTTGAGGCTTTACCTTTAGTATAGTAAAGAGAGGGAAAGTACCATCGAGGGGATTTTTTACTGTATTCAAGCTGAGCTGCGATGTTTCCTTCGTAGTCATGGTTACCTGCGACCATCAGCCACTTGGCTCTCATTAGTACGGGTGCAGAGTAAACATTTTCAAATGTTGTTTCAAAGCGCGGATCATCAGCGCTCTTAACTCCGTGGGGATAGAAATTATCCCCGAGACCAATGATAATAGATACATCATAACGCTCTGCTTCCTGTGTGAGAGAAACAGTATTATTCGTGGACGTTTTTCACATGTGATGACTGCAGTCCAAGCAAAGTGATAATAAATATACTAAAAAAGTCGGCACTCTGGAAACTCGACGTAAAAGCCTATTTTAGTCAGCCAATCAGATTACCAATACATGGCAAATCAAGGAGACTTTCTTCAAACATTTCATGTAAAGAATACATTTTGATTGGATATCATTTATTTTTTTTAAATTAGGTATTCCATGTCATAATAGTTATTTAAGAATCTTTTTCTGTTTCAAATGAATGGTTTGYTGTAGTGCATGAAACTGCGCAGACCCATGATTTCATACAAAGTAAACTCTTTCATTTGAAGATGTTTAAATTTTTAAGAGTTAAAAAGCGGCAAAATCAAACAACGTTTAAAGTAGCTGCGGTTCAAAAAATATAAACAAAAAACTGAGGCATTATATAAAACTGTTTGTCGCCAAGGGCCAGTACTAGTACTGGTTAAAAGTCCACAGTGCTTTTAAAATATGAAATAGAGAGAAAATGCCTGAGAAAAGCAAACAGAACTGATGACAGAAACTGTATTTCTGTTGCTTAAATACTTTAACAAAAAAGACAACATTAGAAATATGACTTGAAAAAAAAGTAGTAAATAAAAGCATGCCGAGAGAAAGTAATTTACAGCTTGTTGAAGCACTCTACAAACCTTGGCCATTGTTTCAGCCACCTGCCTTTGCGTTCTTGTTGAGTACGGTTTCCATCCAATACCACCRATATCTCCCAAAGCAAAAATCGTCAAGTTTTTGTCATCTTTTGGACGTAATCGTCGACTGGMAAATTTCTTGGTTGAAAAAAGATTGGCCACAAGGAGTAAAGCTGACAGGACAGCCATTAATGTGAAGAAGTATTTTTTTCTGGCTACAAGAGCCATCGRTCAAATAATGGCTTGTGGTTTTCCTGCAATTGAAAATGACCGCAAAGATGTTTAATTTCACTATACACTGGATAGTGACTATAAAATAAACTCTATAGATACAAGTTTGCTCAGAATTAACATTCTCTTATTCTTTTGCAATATTTTAAGTTATACACTCGAGCAACAAACTCATAACCCGGCTACCAACCATGTATGACCCATGTATCTGGCCAACCAACTACCCTCCCACCACACGAATTACCGAGCCAACCATCAGGCGACCAACCATGCATCGGGCCATCCATCCAACCTTCCAACCAACCCAACCTAATCWTAACCACTGCCCACCAGGCATCACCCGGCTGCCAACCAACGGACGAAACATCCAACCAACCAATCACACGCCGACCAATTGCGGACCAAATAACATCCACCCATCCAAACATCAACCCWACCACTCACAACAAACCAACCAACAACCAATGCTGTTAATGAAGTTGGCCCTGGATTGGCTGGTTGCATCGGTTAATGATGTGTGTAATGTATGCAGTCATTGTTACATTTAAACAGCCACGGTATGAAAAATATTAACAATTATRAAGTAATTAATGATATTGATAACTTATAATAGAAATAGTGATGCTTGAGCTGACTTAGCAGCTCTTTACCGGACTGATAAAGTAGCACTGAAATATAAACATACTTAATATAAAGCCAAGTATCCGCCTAGGCCAGCGGAAGTAAAGAGATTGACATTATAGAAACATTTATAATAAATATACCACGTATTCGGCGAGTAAATCAACAAATATGTGAATACATACAAAATGATTAGCAAAATCGGTCTGGGGATCAGACAGTAACTTTAGAGATAAAGTAGAGTGGTAACTATCACGGAACGTAGTCAGTCATCGTGCTGTAACTTACCTTAATATCGTCGCTTTCCCTTTAAAAACGGCGTTCAAAAACGTTTCAAAAGCCATATATATGTCGTTTTAAACGGTACTTTTACTGAGTAGACCATGCATTGCCATTAYCATGATCAAAACTCGAAGAAAAGTAACGAAAAATGACAGCGTACTAAATCACGCGACTGTCAAAACCGAATAATTAATGTACATAAAGTTTGTTTTATGTAAATAACTTTTTAAAAAGCGAATTATTGAAGCAGTTTGGTTAAAACTAAAAATAGCGACCACGCAAACATTTTARAAATGCCTGAGCACATACGATTGCAAGAAATATAGCAGAAACATTTTTTGACAGATATCAGATGTGACAATCTGTCGAACAAAGCGTTTGTATAATAGCTTTCCAATTGAAAAGGTGAAAAATATAATTAGGTCTATTGACCATGATTGACTTAGTACATGCTAGTACACACAGTAGGACGCTGTAAATGKTGTCAAATCTATAGAAAGAAAAGATATAAGTAGGACCAGAAGGATTGATGAGCAATTTTTATCGGTTATTAGAATCAATCAACAAGAAATAAAGAAAGAAAATTGGAAAAAATGGAAAATGTTGAGAGTGGACCCACATGACGTATGAAAATAGCCTGGGTCCGAGTTTCTTCAAATTRAGAACAAAATGGCGTCCGACAAGGAGGCTGAAARTCTTCGTAARCAAATTGATGTTTTATCGAGTAAGTAAACCTTTGATTGCCCTATTGTCGCTTCAGAAAAGTTATTGTTAACTCCAAGGTTCAWTTTACATTATCAATCTTGTAGTTGTGGTTTAAAATCTGGAGTGTTTTGATGACACAATCTTGTTTTATACGTTATGACGCAGGTTTAATTCATACTCACAAACGGTTGAAAGAGAAAGAACATACCACAAARAACAACAACTGGAAAATTACAGACACCAAGAGCAACATAAGCTCTGCGTCAACGAATCTATCTASTTCTAGTTTTGCAAAATCGTCATCCAGTTTCCTATTGGATAAAAGACAAAATCATGTTCCTGGCTCCTCGAACTTAATTTCTTCACCAAGGAAAAGATCTCTTTCTAAAGACAATAATCCTATTAAAGTTCCTTCAAAAGAATCACATAGTCTTAGAAATAACAAATTAGGAACTTATRCTGCTTCAGATAAAAATACAAACGTTACTGGTGGAAAARYAATTKTCKCTGGTAGAGCAGTTAATACAACTCAAACAAAAAACATGAAATCGTCTGCAGAAGCAGCATTGCTATCAGCAAGATTATCATCATTGTCATCTTCTATTGCTTCAACAAAGTCAAAGATACAATCTAGTAAATATAGTGCTAAATCAGCATCGTYGCGGCCCTTGTCATCTTACAGTGCTGCAGGTCATTCATCAAGCTCAACAAATAAACAAGCAAATGTAGGCTTATCTACATCAAACCAAACAGGATCAAATACTAACAGCAGKCAACTATTATATTCAAAATTGTCTCTCAACAACCAAAAACACTTAARATCATCAAAACCAGAGTCTGCCTCCTCAGGCGCCTCAACTGGACCTGTAAAACTGAACACTCAAATCACTTCCATTGCATCTCCATCAACAATAACTTTAAAATGGACTAAAGAAGAGCCAACAAAGAAAAACCCTTCAAAAGTCTTGCAACKTAAGAGCACCAAGAGCTCATCTTCAAAATCATCATCATTCTCTTGGAGAAAAACAGATTCTGCACAATTAAAATCACCAGACACTAAGATAATTCCTGCTGCAAAATCCACTTTAAAGTGGAGTAAAGAGGTATCTTCTAAGGATAAAAATACAGCTGTGATTGTCAATTCTGCAGCCAATCACAGCAGACATGTTTGGAGATCAAAAGCAAGTGTGAAAATTGACCGACGAAAGAGGAATTCAGTTGGTTCATCGGGTGGATTCATAAAACGGTATTTAGTTAAATTATATTATGGTAATTTCATTTCATTATGCTAACGTATTGATATTTTATTTAGAAGGCAGAAAGTTGTTCAAAAAATGAAGTCAAGCAAGAATACTTCCTCAAGGTAATGTTTTTTTTACTCTTGACATTTACAGTTTCAAACATACATGTAGAATGCATTGAATAAGGCTAACGAAGATGTCAATTCATTTTCCTGTTTCTGTTTTAGTAGATATCACTATGTCAAGTCTAACAAACAGAAATTTATTGGCTCAAAGGTAATGATGGTGATGATAATATTGTGATATTTACCATTATATTTAACTTATTTATCATTGTTTTTAGACAATCAATAAAGTGAAGAGGATAGATGGAATTCCTTACAAAACATCACCTAACAAACTAGAGAAACAAGCTCAAACTGCTGATACTCCACTAAAGAAATGTAAGATTTGCAAGTGAAACAAGAACTCAAGTGTTCATGGTTTTGAATATCCATTCATTTCTTTGTTCATTGTACATGGCTCATGGCTTTTTTTTTCACATTTCAGCAAAACAAAAATCTTCTAAACTATTAAACATAAGCGGTAATAAGTACTTGGTGAATGCTTCAAGRAAAACCCTCAAGAGAGTCCATCCATCATTAAACCAGCCTGGCACATCCAATAATACAGAAACAATACCTTCAAAGAAAAGGCTGTCACTGAACAAGGCTGTTGGTGCACTTCCAGGAAGCCTTGTAAGGTCAAGTCCTGGCGGAAAAGCAATTACAAGGTATGGTGCAGTATTTAATGGTTTAGTTTGGTATTGATTTAGCTTTTTGGTTTTGTAATGACTTTTCTTGAGGTTCGATAAGTTGTTGTTGTTRGTGGTGATTATTACGACTTGTTTCCATCAAATATATCACTGTTGTTGTGGTTTATACAAGATATTTCCTTTATATTSTCACAGTCAGTTGCGTCGTCGCAGTGTTCAAAATGCCCGTCTTTACAAGTACAAGAAGAAAGCCAAATCTAATCAGTACTGCATGTTCTACAATCGATTTGGTAATGAATTTTAAACACAAATACAATCTAATTTAGTCCTGCATTTTTGGTAACTGGTMCAGTTTGTTTTAACTTTCACAGGTAAATGTAATAAAGGCAAGGAATGCCCTTACATTCATGACCSTTCAAAAATAGCTGTTTGTACAAAGTAAGTTTATTGCTTTTTTTTGTTTAACAAAAATGAGAAAGTGTTCAAAACTGTTTTACAATCGATTTTAATGGAAAATGAATTCTTGATGTCAATTGTTTCAAACCTTTTTTCTACTTTCAGGTTCCTGAAAGGTAAATGCGATAAAACAGATGGTTCTTGTCCCTTCTCTCACAGAATTGACAAAGACAAGATGCCAGTTTGTCAGTTTTTCCTTAAAGACGTCTGCAYAAAAGAAGACTGTCCATACTCACATGTCAATGTTAGTAGCAATGCGGAGGTGTGCGAAGACTTTGTCAAGGGCTATTGTCCATTGGGCCAAAGGGTATGGTTCATTCACATTGTCAAAAAACATCTTTAGTTWAGTTCCTTCTTKCAAAAACCCACACTTTCATGGTTTTCTGCTTAAATGTTGTTTTTTCATACACATTTCATGCTTACTGACAACACTTTTCACGTTAGTGCAAGAAGAAACACATAGTGAACTGTGAGGAATTCCTGCTCACTGGAAAATGTTCAAAGGGGAAGAAATGCAATTTAATGCACCGAGTGATAAAACCAAAGACAAGAAAAAGAAAGTCCTTGACTAAAGATGATGAAACAACAACAGTTAAACAACCAAAGATTGTCATGACAGAGGAAGAGGGATTTCTGCCTCTATTAAATGGTAAATTAAGTATGAAGACTTGTAAATGTCATTAGAAATCAAGTTATGATAGTTAAGGGTATGTGACATTGTCTGTGAATTAGAATCAACAGAAATAGAAAGCACCAAAAGAAAACAGGATGTCGTGGCTGCAGACAAAGGTACACAAAATTATTCAATTTTAGCGAATTCAAATATTTTCTTATAATTTCTTTGTTGACATTTTCAAGTGAGATCAATATCGATCAAGCCAAGGTTCCTGATTAACAAGGACAACCAACAAGACCAAGGATAAGTATAATGGGTGAAAATGAACAGGAATTGGATAGAAAGTTTATGTTTAATGTTTAAGTTTTATTTATTTTCCAGGAGGCTTTGCTGTAATTAAATATCAWATTCAAAAAATTGAGCAAAAGCTCAAAAAGAACAAAAAGCAAATATATTTTTAAAAAATAGTAAAAGATTAAAGAAAAAAAGAAAAAATGGAAATAAATGAAAAACGAAAAAAAAGAAAAATACATGTAAAACATGAAGTGAATCACCAATAAAACATTTAAAACAAAGTGTGTTGAATATCGGGGATTGGACCAGAATAACTACCTCGTGAAAGAAAAGAAACAAACTTTGCCAAAAAWTTATATTTTATTTTCTGAGTGAAAAAGTCCCGTTTTGTACAAAAATATTACTACAGTATACACTACGCTTTACTGAGCTCAAATCCATGATGACATTCCATGTGMATTTGTTGATAGATTCCTGTCTTTCATTACCACCAGTAAGTAATATTGTTAGACAGCAATAAACACGGTATGGTTTAGAGTCGAGTGAGAGAACCAGTTTGATTCTACACAGGGTACCCAACATTGACAGTTTGTCGTGACTGGGCTCGTTTCATTCKCTCCTGTTCTTCTTGAAGTCCAAAAAAGGTGTCTAAAATCGAATCGACCGGGTCATCAATGACATCCTCGACGTAATCATAGCTTGGAATGTTGCTCTTTTTTAAACATCTTCCATGAAACCTTGGCGCGATGGTGGTACGATGAAGAGTTTTTCCCAGATCGCTTATAAATGATATCTCTAGGTGTGTTGGTGTTGCTTGGAGGAGTGTGAATCCACCATGTATTCCGTCAAAAAACCTGTCACACATAAAGCATTCGTTATTACCTTCGTTCATTTAACTGATTTTCTTTTATCCCTTCCCACTTCCCGCTGTCACTAGATCATGCACGACTTATAACTTCCCACAAATTCTATAGGGTCGATTCTATAGGGCACCATAATCCTACGGCAATGAAGAACTTTGCATTGAACTTACTTTAGCGAGCCGTACGGAAGTGTACTTTTATTGTTCTGCATCGCATTATGATTTGAGGAGCTTCCGGTTACAAAGTAATTAACCCTTGAGAGGAGAGGTTTGATGTGCTGCAACGGTAAAGAAATGCCATTGATAGTGAAACACAACCAACAATGATCCGACATTACGGTACTCAGTATTGAAGATTCTTACTGACTGATTGGATGATTGTTGATTGATTGATTGATGGATTGATTGATTGATTGATTGATTGATTGATTGATTGATTGATTGATTGATTGATTGATTGATTGATTGATTGATTGATTGATTGATTGATTGATTCGGATTGACTGACTGACTGACCGACTAATTGACATGATTGATTGGTTGATTGATTGATTGATTGATTGATTGACATGATTGATTGGTTGATTGATTGATTGATTGATTGATTGATTGACATGATTGATTGATTGATTGATTGATTGATTGATGATTCATTCATTCATTCTGATTGATTGATTGTTACCTGCATATTATGGTCATGTCCACTTAAATACGCTGATACGCGATATCTTTGAAGAAGAGGATTGAGTCTCTGCAGTAAGCAATGATTTGATCCATGCATTCCTACTGAATACACAGGATGATGGCCAGCCACCAATAAATAGTCTGCTCTATAGCACAACAAATGATATATGATTATCAATGCCGGACAATAATGTTTTTTATATCATATAATGTGCAAAATTACCTGGATCTCCTGAGAGTTTCTCGTATCCATTTGTAYTGCTCCCTCTTTCCAGGGAACCTTCCTCCTCTGAAGAAGAAAACACGACGATTAAAACTCACAATCAGACAAACAAGACGTTTTCCAGAAGTGCAGTGCTTAAGTGCCGAGGCAATGCTGCACTCCACCTGTGGTCTTTCTCAATTCAATAGGGCGTCGATACCAGGCAAGGTTCCGTGAGGCCGTGTTGGTGTTCCTTGTACAGTCATACGGTTCCTACTCAAATACCACGTTATAAATTCAAAGAGACAATTAATCATTTCTTGCCTACCCTCTGTAACACAGCAACGTCGTATCTATGGTTACCACTTGCACAGTTTTACAGCTTCCTGGTATCTTATGAACTGAAGAGAAGAAATGATCAGTTTTTTCAAGTTGAAAAGAGCTTGAACTTTTCTGCGCGCCCAGTCTTGGTGCACGCGTTTCATTCACTCGCTTATCGCGCGTATATTTCTCCCAGGTTTTATATATAAAGATAGAATACTATTAATGCTATTTCTAGAATCGTTTCTTGTCGACATTATGACCAAATTTATCGATTATTGGAAAATATGACTTTCGCGCGCATATTCAAAATATCGCAGTCACGACGACACACACGGCGAGAAAAAAAACATCCAATTAAATCCATACCTTTTGAATAATAGAAGTCGGGRAATTTCCATCTCTTGGAGTATCTAGTATATTCAATCTGAGCTGAAACGTTTCCCAGGTAGTCATGGTTACCAGCTAGCATATACCAGTTTGTTCTGTGYAACGACGGATCCCTGAAGATGTTTTCAAAAGTTGATTTAAACCGGTTGTCATGAACGCTTTGGACACCAGTCCAGTAAAAGTTGTCACCAAGACCAAGTACAAACTTAGCGTTCTTTTCTTGTGCAGTCTAGAAAGTGAATAAAAGAAGGGCATTTGGGGAATAGAGGCGAGCCACGCCCTTTATTTATCTTTTTACATAACTGTTTCTTTATTGAAATTGTTGGCCTGAAGATAAGTGATAGTAGTAGTTCAAAATAAAAGATTAAGTAAATTCTATACATTCGACACTATCAAAGTTGCCGACTTCAAAGAGAAAACTGTGTTGTTTACTGTTTTATCGATGTTTCAAAGTGTCGAAAAAGTGTTAAGTTCACGAAAACAACCTGCGTCTATTTGTAAAAAATGTTACCCCAAGGTGATTGTTATTATTGACCTCATGCACATTATAATCTTTTRATTGTCCGGGGCTCAAACCACTGTGGAAATCTCAACTGTACATCATACAATTCCATTTTTTAACTATTGATTTCCAGATGACTTTGGACATCTTAACACTTAGTAGACGCATCTAAGTTGACTTATAAAAGTCTTGCGCACAGTGCGAGATAAGGTCAGATTTTTTAAAATGTCAACGCCAACAAAAAMCAGTGACTAGGGAAGGTACTGTAGCGTGTGGCAAGAAAATCTTTGCAGACAATAGTTTCACACCAACAATTCCTTATATATTCAATGAATTCAGCAATGATTGTGGATAGGTTTGACAAAAAATAAAAATCCGGGAATCAAAAACATTTTGAAAACAATCCMTAAAACACAAAATATAATCTTATTTTAAAGGCATTAAAAGGCGTCATGTAATTTCTTAATATGTATTTACTATAGTAATACCTTGCCCATTTGTTTGGCCACTTTCTTCAAGGTTTTAGTGTAATAAGGATACCAAGCGATGCCGCCAGCATCGCCAACGGCCAGGAATGACAACCGTCCGCCATTTTCATGATCAAAATCCMGTCTTTGACTGACAACATACGTGGTTACAGCCAACAACACCAGAAGAACAGGGATAGTACTCTCCATCTACACCCAGCCATACAGTATAGCTTCACATTCTTTCACGATTTTACTAAAAAACTAGGAATCTTGCCTGGCAAGGTCGATGGAACTTTGATGAAGAAGGGAGAGAGCATGCGCGAACTAGTCGGTATTCGGATTTAGTCGGTGACCAGTTTTATTATGAATGCCACAAGCAAAAAGATTGTCTCTTGACTGGTGGCTAAATTGAAAACACTAGGTAGACTTGGGTAATCATTACGACTTGTATAAACTATCGACATTTTGTAATAGCTTTTTAGCTTCATGATGAATACAGTACACAGCGTGTGGAAAACAAGAACGACTTTATTTGACAATAGAGGGAGGAGCCAAAATAATAAAAAAGACATTAATAGTTCTAAAAGGAATAAGCATTAAATTGATACAATAAAATAACGAAAATGGGAATTAACTAGGTGTTTTGGTCCAATATTATGTTCACTGGTTTCATATATAATCGCATTGGGCAGAATGCTATCGTTTGTAAGTTTTCAATTGTCTTTTGACTCAGTAAAGATTACATAATGCATCCACGGTTTAATAAGATTGTGATATGTATTAATAACATTACAAATTTCATCTTGAAATATACACGTTTAATAAGAGCACTTCTGCAATGACGCACTCTGAAACTGCATTTTGTATCGAGGAAAATAATACCGTTTAAAGAACTCAACATTTGAGCGGAAAAGGGCGTAGCAAGTGATTATGATTTGGTTCTTTGTTCGTTTGAATTAGAAAAAAAAAAAACAATCAATTAATTATTTCAAGAGTTATAGCAAACTCTTTAAGACATATTTGCCCAAAATTCAATCGCACATATATACGTAATCGGTCACCAAGACAACTAAAATTTTTAACGCGCGAAAATTTAAATACGAGAGACGCGCGCGCGCAWAAAGATAATACTGTAAAGCGCAAAAAGGTGTCGGGTATGGAATGCAAGCGATCTCTTGGAGAATGGATTGTGAACTCTCAACCTGTCTTGATTTATGAATTACGGTATCCTTATAAGAACCGCATCAAAATCCAACTTTATTACAAGCCAGAGAAAGAAAATGGACCAATGAAAGATTATGGAGACCTCAGCACAGAYCTCGCTAACTCAAGTCTTGARCCTGGAGAGTTTTGCGTCCAAAACTACGGACATATGAAAGACAAAATTAAGCAACTGGAGGCATTTCCAGAGTTTGAAGTAACGAAAAAGAGAAATCTTGTCAGACAACCCGCAAACGGACCGTTACATGTRTGTCCGATCTGGAGACTTCGTAGTTACGACTGCATGCCGGACGACGCCGAAGTCGACCTTTCGGCAAAAGAAGGAGGGATCGTAACGACGTCGGTAGCCGAGTGCACATTCGAAGAGATCAAACGATTGGTTAAAAACGCCCCAACAAATAAWGAAATAGCCGAACAAATGGTGACTTTTAGGACTTTTGAAGAGCACTTTGTCAAAGACAATGTTGGTGAAGAAGTTAAAGAGATATTGGAGGAATTCAAGAAATGAAAAAAAGAAAGAATTTGAAATACTTGAAAATATCCATTTTATTTRCTATTTTTTTGCTTTGATTAAAACTTTGAACAACCCCAACATCATATTTCGATGTATGTTAACCTCTAATTAATAATCAATATAATTATATAATAATAACTATGATTATCAGATTGCACTTATCATATCTGTGAAACACATTGTAAGCATTACCCCMAAATTAACATAATTGAACACAAAAAAAACAAAGGATAATTTGCTCAATTTTCAAGAAAAAAYATTTCACAGATRTAGTAAATGCACTYTAATAATTATTGCTCAACAATTTRCGATTGATCTTYCTTATCAACAGATCTTTTGCTCTCAWCTTCGTCAGTTTTCTTTGTCTCTGTTTTACTGTTGTCTGCTTCTTCTCTATCTTGACCTTCCTCTGACACTTCATCAACACGTTTGTCATCCCTTTTGACTGKTTTTTCACCTGATTTTTGGTCTAAAATTTAAGTCAGTAAAAAATCATTGGTTATTGGCAAAACCTTTTTACAAGAGACAATTTGATTGGATAATGAAGATGGGTATGAGGTCAAATTTTACCATCTTTAAYTTCATTTTGTTTTGGCTTGGACTTTTTCTTGGATGATTTTCGCTTGTGTTTAGGTTTGTCTGGTGTTTTTGCTGGTATTGAGGGATCTTCTGGCTCCTGGAATACAAAGGAAGTGATGATATTAACTGTGCTTGTATGTTTTCTTTGACCTCAGGCTAACTTTCCCACAGGTAACCCAATCCTAACACAGGAAGCCCAAACAACAGGATGCTCAACTTACCTCAGTTCCAAGAAAATCATTTAATTGTTTATCCAAGTCATAATCCTCAAACTTGATATCAGCAAGTGATCCTTCTGATTCTGGTAGGTTAGATACATGCTCTGAAATAACAGTTTATTGTCAAAACTGGAATATATTCATAACAAAAATGCCTTTTATTGTAGATTTGCTAATGAAAGGACAGAATCCTTGTAAAAACAATGAATCAATTCTCCATMCAAATCAGTCAACCAGTCAATCAAACATTATCAGTAAGTTAGTCTGTATTTCATGTGTCAAAAAAACAAAGTACTAAGATGAATGTTGTAAATATTGTAATCACCATCAGTCTTGCCAAACTGTATGTAATAATTCATCTGTTCAAGGAAGGCATCTTCATAAACTTTTTGTCTTTCAATTGATTCTTGCCTTTCAAGGTTTTCTTTCTGTTGGTTGTTAATTGTCTGTTGTACTTGAAGGTCCTCTATTTAAACAAAACAATATTAGAAGGAAAATAATAACAGTGGCAGTTCCAATGAAATGGCAGAAATGACATTGTTTTGTGTGAGGACTTCCTCCTTCATTCCAGGCCCCACAAACATAAGCTGATGGAAAGGGTTGTAGCCTCTAACATTGTTAGCTGAACAACACAAACCTATAAAAACAGTTGAACCTTATAAAAAGCTTGATCTGTCACTGTTTGTCTTTAGATAGTGTTGTGGAGAAAAAATTATAATCTACTCAGCTATACAGAAATGGATCTCGCTTTTAAAATTCTGGATCTGTCATTGAATAATGATGATGATGATAATGATGATGATATTTGTTAAGGGTGGAAAAAACAGTATTATTATCACCTTTCAGTTTTTCAAGATCATCTCTAAAGAAAAAAAAAATAAGTATGTTTTATTAATAAAAGCTGTTTTTATGTCAGAATATCGTTGATAATTGACAAATAATGACAATGATGTTAATGGAAACAGCGGCAAAAGTACAGGCTACTAACTCACAGTTTACTTTGCTGCATCATRACCATCTTYAAATGATGACTGTTTTTATGTCTTTCAACATCAAGTTTTTCACAGACTTCTTCAAGGTCCATTAAAAGAGCCTCTAACACATCAGCCTGGCTCCCTATAGCAGCTACACAACAAACAATGTAAATATCAGTTAAAGATAGGATAACTCTTAAATAACYTCCAGAGATTATTCCTAATTACACTCTTTGGATAGAATCCTCAAGTCTTTAACCAAACTATGCAACCARTCTTACCAATGTCTTCATTAGCTGTCTGTACATTTTTGATCATTTCTGGTAGTTTCTCCATTTCACCATGGAATATTGTMATTGTATTRCGCAGGTCAGTGCATCTCTTTAACACTGAGTTGATGATTTTATCTGCATTCTTTAAAAGGATAAAACAATGAGGAAGTGGSATATAATTTAAAATTGTAACTTAAAGGAGTTTTTACCTCTGCTTCTTGTGCAGATAGTCTCGACTTTTCATGAATTTCTGACCATTGTTGAGCATATCTAAAAAACAAATGATTAAAATTAAACTTTTCTATTTAGATTTGTATCCAACAGTAATAGTGATAATAACATTTCTCATGCCAATTAAATTCACACTCAATACGTAATTGATCACAAACCTTTCTAAAATTTCAGAGCCTGCCTCTATGTSACAGTTGAAAGTTTGGTCTTGTCTATGAAAGAAACATAAGGTATGCAATKCATTTAGCACTATTTGGTTGGTAATTTTTATGCTCTTTTAACCAATAATTGTTCCAAGATAAATAAAAAAACTTGTTTATCCCATCTACACTTCCTTCTTGATTATTTTCTTTCTTCACATTTTCTTTTGTTTCTTTTCAATTGCCCATTTTTTTACTTTTTAGTTACTCATTCSAATTTGAAACAACATCTTACCCTTCAATGTACTCTTCTGTCAAAAGAGTGGTTTTCCTGAAATATTTATGTAAAAAAGAACAATATATTAAAGACTTGCTAATGAAAAGAAATTGGATACATTTTACATTTAGCCACAATATGAAGTCAACAACTTCTAAGCTTTGATATCATCGATCTCCTTACCTAACAATCTTTTGGTTGACAGACTTGGCTTTGTCCGAAATGCTCTTCCAACTGCGTATATTAAAATAAACTTTTATCAAAGTGCGCAGCAAATAAAATGAGACAACGGCACACTCTATCGTGCTATACAGTAATTAGGTGCTACAAAAATACCCTCTACTTACCCCTGACTAACATTGTGAGTAACGCTCTCTAGGCGCTCCTTGATGTTCCCTAAATTGCCAAACATTTGAACGTAAAATGGAGCAAACTGGTTATTTACAAAGTTCCATTTTGCATTTGTTTGTCTGAATCWATTGGGCAAATCCGCTGTACATTTCAAAATACCCACAATGCATTGCCAGAAATATTTCCCAGMATGCAACATTTCAAGATGGCTGACTAGGGTGTACTAAAACAGAACGAAAGTTGTACATTAYCACAAGTTGTACATCCACCATTTAAAACAGYTWAGCARKATTTTTTACTTGGAAAAGRTTTTGTCACARGGAAGAAGAAGATTTGTTCACTTGGGAGAATTCTTGAGAATCGACGAGACGCGGTCACGCTGTTTTTGTGGTTATTAAAATTGTTCGAATTGTTTCAGCTCCACTTCCTCAAGAATGGCTAGTTCAGAATCTATTATAATGACATTACTAGAACAAGTGAGATGTCTAGAGGAGGAACGCGACAAAGCATTAGAACTTTCAAATAAATTGAATGAAAAACTACGCGCRAAAGAAGAAGGTAAAGAAGCCGCTAAGTCAAGCAAAACGTCTGACGAGTTAAACTTTAAGGAAACTCTRGAGACTCTTGCTGATGAATTGGAGGAAATTCGACTCAATGAAGAGCAAAGACAATTTAATATCTCAGAAATAAGTAAAGACCAAGATGGACAATCAAAAAGTACAAGTGTTAGYGGTAGCAAGGATTCAGTGATGCTTGAGCTTTGCAAGCAATACTATGGCAAGATGGTGACTGAATTGCAGGAGGAAAGAAATGTTTTGCAGCAAAAAGTTGAAAAGCTACAAAATGAAATTATAGAAAAGGATATGAAAATTGCAGAGCTTCAGCTTGGAAAAGTGTAGCCTCATTAGGAAACTTTCATTTATGCAAAWAWCATGTACTTACACACTTCTAGCTGTCAGTCACACACTTMTAGCTGTCAATAATGTTAGATCAATGTTTTTTCGCTATTTTTTTTGAAGATACAAACAATAAAGTGTGCAACATAAATACCACTAAGWAATCATAAAATAATGTTTATTATATTGCTTAATTAGCACTAGTGAAGTAAAAAAAACCCTGTGAAATAGATAGTACACTAATACAASTACATTACATATATAAACATTGTTTTCTTTTGAGTCTTTTTGACTATCATACTTTTATTAATTGTAAAGGTTTTGTTTAATGACTTTACTCTATCTAGCAGTAAAAAATGTAAAATGTTGCACACATTTACTGTTTGAAGACTCTTGTATTTGTACTAAAATAACTCACAAGTACTAGAGTCGTTAACCTGTGAAACACTTATTATTCAACTCCAAATGAAACAATGACAATCAATATACATGTCTGCTACTATGTGGTCATGTACATAGTACAGCACCAAGCCTAGTTTCTATTATAATATTTGTAGTTTTGTTCATCAAACAATARCAATAGCTCCAATTTAATTTGTTTAATAAAATTATAATTTACAGCATTTCTTTTGATGTGAATGGTTGGGTAGGAATATTTACACTGTACAACTTTTGCAGATATTACATGCGTATTACAACACACTGTGCTGAATTTATCAAGCTTTGAGCTCACTGCTGAATAAGCAATAAAAAGATGTACCAAATGTTGTACAATATAAACAACTTTTYAAGGTTGTTTAGACACTTGTAGATGGCATTGTCATGTAGAGCGTAGTTGCTCACTTGTCACTCCAAYTTTTTTAGGCATTTTGTGTGAAGAACCATCCTCCACTTCTTTGTTTTTATAGTAATGAGGAGCAACTTCCAGGAGCCACGTATTATCTATCTCTATTACCTGAAAAAATCATGGTRTCTTTAAAAAACTGAAGTTATACTATTCACTAATGCAGTCTTATTTGCTTTCAAAAGAAAATTCCCCAGTGCTATTAACTGAAGTGCTATCAATCAAAAGACAAGACAGTGATTTTTCTGCTCTGTCTATTCAGGTACTACTAAAATAAACTTGTTTGATGTTGAGAGTTGCTGATATTTTATTACCTGTCTCATATATTCTTTGGTTGTGAAGACTAATTCATGATAAATAATCCATCTTGGTTGCTCTTGAAACAAACTGCTATTAGGATGAATCATTACTGTCTGAAACAAAAYAGAAAATAAAAACTCAATTTGAATCACATATTTACTGGAACAAAGTGAAAATTACMATCTGAAACAAAAGTGAAGTTAGAAACTCAATATGAATCACATTAATTTTWCTGGAACAAAGGGAGAAATAGAAAAACAAAAAAGGTAGCTTAGAGTGTGAAGGCAATCATTTCATTTACAAAATAATACAAATGTAATAAATCAGCATAAAAACTGACCTGTTGATGTTTCACTGTCCTGTAGTTTCCACCTTTTCCAAGCCTTGCTGTATGGTAGAAGTATCCTGCTGTAATTGCCTGATATAGTTTAAAAATAGTTAATACTTTGTCAAGACAGGCAGATAGATAGATTAATTTCAAACATTAAATGAAATAAAGCAAATGAAATGACTATGAAATGACTCATGATTACTAAATGTAAGTAAACTGTTGTTCATACCTTACGTATGGCTAAGTAATCATGAGGATTAGATGTGGACTCWATTTCAACTCTCTCCACAAGTCCTTCTAACTGTTCTCTGACATCTCTTGCTCTCTTCATTGACCGGTGTTGAATAAAGTTTTCATAGCACCACTGAGTGGAGTAGCCTGTYTCTACCCATTGGTCGTAGACATTTAACAATGTTATGTGGTCTCCACCAGGACGGAAGAAGTTCATGCGTGCATTGTCAGCATGTACAATCTTGTCTTTTGGTCGATAGAAAATGGCATTGTTTACAGATAGCATTGCAATAATGGTCAACATCTGTTCTACMACCTTGTACCTAGTGTGATAATGATGGTTATGGCTAATTACTGGATGATTAAGACGAAAATTAGATATAAAATGATATAAATAAAGAAATAAATTGGAAATTATTATAAAATGACAATTCCATACTTTTCAGAAGCAATCAAAGTCTTGGACATCATGGGATCAATAGGAAACTCTGCCATCTTCCTTCCAAGCTACAAAYGATRCAAAAACATATTCCTAAGAACTCRATACAAAATTGRACAAARAGATAGAAGGAGCATYACCTTTGTCAGTTCACCATGGTGATTTAGCGCACCCAATGCATAAAGCTGCTCCAATGCAAGGATTAATGTCTCAGCGGGAGGAGGATCCATAAAGTCAAAGTGTATCAAATCATTGATTCCCAAACTCTTTAGCAGTAGAACAACATTTCCAAGGTTAGTCCGCTGAATTTCAGGGATAGTGTTTTCCTCTAGTTCATTCTTGTAAGCCCATGCCGTGTAAAGACGGAAACATTTCCCTGCAGCTACACGGCCTGCTCGTCCTGCTCTCTGGTTTGCAGAAGCCTATGGTACAATATTCAAACAAAGGTTGTCAATTTTTGTTTCATTTATAATATAATATTCAATTCCTGCTATATACCTTTGAAACAGGAGTGACTACAAGTGATTCCATGCCAGTTCTTGGGTTGTAACTTTTTTGTTTACAAAACCCAGGATCAATAACATAAATGATGCCGTCAATGGTAAGTGATGTCTCTGCAATGTTTGTTGCCAGGACAACCTAATAAACAAACAAACATGTCAGAACAGTTTCATGCATAAATTCATAAACAGTAATGACACAATCAAGGTAGGGTGTGATCAGTATTGCGGTTACCTTTCTAGCACCAGGGGGAGTGGGTTCGAAAATCTTTGCCTGCAAATCTGATGGTAGAGTAGAATAGATAGGGAGAATAATTAACTCTTTAATCTTTGAACCAAGTTTTCGTGTTCTCTCTTGCAATAATTCCTGAGCAGTTTCAATCTCTTCCTGGCCAGACAAGAATACCAGAACATCACCATCTGGCTGTGTCACATGTATTTGAAGTACAGTTACCACGGCAGCATCCAGGTAATCTGCCTCAGGGGCCTAAAACCATTAAATGAAGTATTTCATTAGCTATTGACTACAGTCACAATATACTACAAACTCCTTGATACCTTAGTGTAGTAGATGTGTACTGGAAAACGTCGACCAGGTATTCTAAATATTGGTGCATCATCAAAGAACTGAAAAAATGGAAGACATTTATAAAAAAGAACATTTTGAAGATCTTTCCTTAACAGGATTTTCCTAACTTACACTWGAGAATTTGTCAGCATCTAGAGTTGCACTAGAGATAATGAGTTTGATATCTGGTCTGAAGCGTGCAATGTCCTTCACTAAGCCAAACAGAACGTCAGTATGAAGGGTCCTTTCGTGAGCTTCATCTACTATTATAACACTATCAAAAAATAGCAACAGTGTGAGCTATGATGGTGATTCTAATAAAAACAGTTGTGATAAAGATTAAACACAATTCATTAATATCATACTTCGCTGCTTCCCCAAGACTCATTTATCTATTTTTCATTTACCAGACATTCCCTTACCTATAACTTGCTAAATCAGGTTCACCAAGAAACTCACGCAATAACATGCCGTCCGTCATGTACTGAAATAGAATGTTATAACATGACCTTGTTGATAAACACAATACCAGGATAATATGAAATAATACCTTAAGAATAGTTCTTTCTGAACAGCAGTCTTCAAATCGAATRCTRTATCCCACTTCATTTCCCAGTTTTGTTCCCATTTCCTCTGAAACCCTTGCAGCAACACTCATAGCAGCTACACGGCGAGGCTGTGTGCATCCAATTTTCTTTTTGTCTTTTGTATATCCCTAMACARATCACTACTRTYAACTCYAWCCTTAATTAATATCACTATAACAATAACAACAAACATTTTCTGGAATAATATTATTTAGGTGATCCTCAGCAACCTTGTTCAATAATAATTAAGAAATGATACAGCAAAATATCCTTTCAAATCAATCCAGACTTTGAATAGATATTCCTGGTATTAYTATCATGGTCTTAGTCATTATTCCAGGAAATGGTACTTACTGCTTCATAAAGATACTGTGGAATTTGAGTTGTTTTTCCTGACCCTGTTTCACCTTCTATAATCAGCACCTATACAATAGAATTGTTTGTGATTAAGTGAAGAAAAGATGACAATATTACTCCTTCAAAATATTATCATATTACACAATGGTGTACATAAATCAATTTGGATTTAAATAGCATTGCTTGATAGGTCTGTGTCTACAATGAACAACAAAGAGAGTTATATAATGAATTAATATTTACTCCTATGTATGTTTGATTTTATCCCATCATATACGCATCCAATGTTAAGCTATATTCTTACCGTATACATTATAATATTGCATGAGAAGTGTGTTTAAAATCTTACTTGATGCTCTGCCACAGCTTGTAGGAGCTCTTCTCTATATGCATACACTGGTAAGCTTTTACGAACCTGAAAGTAAACAAACTTCAGTACTGAAAAAGCTCTCTAGTTGAACAACTTGAAATAAAATAACACACCACACATTTGGCAAAACAACGACAACAATAATAACACTTTTTGGGRGGTTTAATCCAAGTGGTTTACCTCTTGTATTGTCTGCTTTTTGATCTCAGCTTCAGACTTGACAGGTTCCTGAAATAAACAACAAAATTTTCATCACCAATGCAATTACTAGTCAAATATCTTAACAAGACTGTTTTAGGTTCTTACTTTTGACATCTTTGTTCCTGGTATTTCCTCTGCCATGACAAACCCAATCTGCTCCTCTTCCACMAGAAGATCATACTCAGCACTCTGGAAAGAAAGGCATTTTGATTGGTTATAATCTTAAAAAAATGCAACAACCAAAAAAAGGTAAAAAGTTTGATAGTGTGACCAAAATACCATTGATTTATRATGGAAAGTTGTTCAGAATTAACAGTCTGCTGAAATGCATACAGATCTACCAATGCATCCATTCATTATGCTAAACAATAATGACATTGTCATGGTGCCATATCCATCTGCTAATTATCCTGTACATGCAGTAATCTATGATAAAGAAGTGTAATTTTCATTCTTTTATGTTTACCCACCTTATTCCTTTCCTTAGCATCTTTAGCTCCAAACCTCATTTGTGCATAACCAAGTTTATCCTCTTCCCACTTTTTCTGCTCATAATTTGGTCCTTTTTCGTCATCAATGATTTCATCATACTGYGATGGCTCCTGCTTCTCTTTTGGCATGTGATAACGCTGCACCTTTTCAATTTCACCTGCTTGTTGATGTTGAATTGCATATGATAAAACTTTCTTCTTGTATTCCCTTTCTTTTTTTTCTCTTTTGGAGAGAGAGGATTCCTCAAAAAGATACTCATCATCTTTGATGTCTTCTTGTAGCATTTCCAGTTTATCAACACGTCTTTTCTTTATGTATTCCCGTCGAGACTGCTTTCGTAGTTCTGGTACCTAGAGATTTTGAGGAACGTGAGACTAGATTTAATGTAGTTCATAGAAATATCGAATTGAAAATACATTGACTGATTGATTGTATGACTGACTGGTTAATTGTTTGACTGACTTTTGATTGACTGCCTGACTGACTGACAGACTGATTGACAGGTTAATACATGTACATAATATTTTATTGATTGCTTGATAAATGCTGATTGCTGAGTTTCAAATAGAAATAATCAAAATCCATAAAATGACTTACCATCTTTTTTCTGTCTTCTTCATCAAGCTGTAATCTTTTCTTAGCTTCTTCAAATGCCTTAAAAAGGTAAGTCAAATATACATTAGTTATTGTTTGATCATGTGAATGGAGTCCTTAGTCTCCCCCTCCARTAAAATAGACTTTATACAAATTGTACAGTACCTTTTTGTCTGACCTTTCCATGATATTCCTTTGTTTTGACTTATCTTTGTCCTTCATTCTCTGTGCAAATGCATCCCTTTCCTCCAAATCTTTTAACCTATCATTCTCTTCCTTTTCCCATTCTTCCTCTGATTCAGCATCTTTATGAACATTCTTAGAGTCATCAGCAATCTCATCGTCACTGGAGCTACTACTCTCTTCTTTTCTCCTCAAATGTTTTCGCTTTCGCTCGTGTTTTGACTGCATTTTTCTTGACTGAATAAGTTCTTCTTCATCCTCGTCATCTGATAATAATTTATAATCACTGTATTTCTGTTGTTGCTCAATCAGGGCCTTTTCTTTAGCTCTGTAAGGATGCAGTGTTGGCTGTTCCTTATGTGGAACCTTGCTCCACAAATCACGAGCCAAACTGAGCATTTTGGCGTCCCCTCCAAGACTATCTGATATCTTTTGCAGCATAGTTTCCGAGCTTGGAGAACTCTTGGCTAGATTAATCAAATACTCTGCTGTATGCTTATCAGAGAATCCTAAAACATCGTGAAGTTCATCAGCCACCCAACTCGTTAAGTTTGCCATAATTTTCTCAAAAACCTTGGTTCTACAACACCGCAAAMGTCCTTTTTTCCCTCAGAAATGAAAAATGAAGATTTCAAATTTTAGAAGAGTTCGCATTAGTTCAGTCCATAAATTCTCGAATTAATAAAACAGTTTAAGAAGTTTGAACATCACTTTACGATTTTTGCACGATGATCCGCCATGTTGTTTTGAGACCTGCAGTGCATCATGGTACTTTGTTCTATTTCCCACAGGTAGCCCAACAAAAGGAATGAAGTGCACTCCTTCTGTTTACTCTGAGACTGACTCGTTTTCTACGATTGTTTTACGGTTTTTTGTACATGTTTTAAGCAAAACGTGCAATAGTTTTTTTCTATCCATTCTTYCAAGTCCCTTCCCTCCCAAATTCCCGCCTCCTTGCCTTCATTCATCCATTGTTCAGTTGGACTACAGTCGACTACAGTTTGATTGTGTGGTGGTGACATTTATTACTCAATTAACAGTCTTGGAATGCAACAAACAGATTCCATCAAGACAGTATTTAACATTATCAAAAATCGAATCAAATATTAACAGAATTTTATTTATTATTTAAAATTATACCTGAAGCACATCTTGTTTTTGCTGCTGTCAGGTTCAAATATTTACACTACCTTACTAAAATATCATTCCGCTAATGACATTTTTTTTAAATTGAAGCACGAATTCCTTAAGTTATTTCTGTGGAGGTTCAACTTCTTCTACAAAGAYACGGCTGACAGAGTTCCATCCTGTATAAGCATCAGCGTTACCATACCCGTGACAATTCCCTACGTTAAAACCAACGCGAACAACGCCCTTGTGGACGGCGTGACAATGACCTGCAATATGGCGGACGCGGTGAAGATTTTGATTCCCACCTTGCCGCATGTAAACAATACCATCAATGGCGCCAGGGTTGGAACATTCAGCACCGTTGAAAGTGAAGAACCATCGTTTGCAGCATTTGTTACATCCGTAGATTCTCAAAGCTCCGTTCCAGTAAACACGTAGAGAAGTCATTGCATGCTTCTTTTTGAAAAGACATTCCTAAAGGAAAGAGAAAATCAGTATAAAAAGTCAGGAAGTCAGTTGGTCATTCAGTCACCTTGAATTTATCAAAAAMCATCGTAAGGATGGGCTTCATAGAGAAAGCGAGAAAAAAGGAATTCAAGATTTAACCATAGTTAATAGAGGGAGATCAGGAGGAAGGTTCTCTCTCTATAAACTATAATATTACTGGTCGATATTTCAACACGTCTGTCTGTCTTTCTCCTATCAATGGCGTACCTTGATAAGACCATGGTCTCTTCCGTCATTAATGTTTTTCCACGAGCATTCTTTCCAGTTTGAGTGTTCGGATGCACCTGKTTTTCCAGGTGAGCCAGGGTTCCCCTGAGGACCTTGAGGTCCTTGAGCTCCCCCATTTCCCGGCGGCCCTTTTGGTCCCTGATTTCCGTCGCGCCCATTTCTACCGGGTTTGCCAGGAATACCGGGTATGCCTGGAATACCTGGGCTACATGATGAGACACGGCTGCAGCACTTTTTCGCCACACTCTACAAGAAACAGTGGACGATATAACTAAAATTCCGTGAAACAAACTGAAGTAGTTACTCTGTACCAAATAGTCCTTAGTGCAGTGACTATCAAATCAAGGGAACAAAACTTCGAAAATCGCAATCGAGTGATAGTCAAATAGATACAAAAGAAAAAACGTATTATGGCGTACTAAGTTGTATTATTATTATCTATTTTAGTTTTTTTTTTACTTAACTCTACAAGTCTTTGATAGGGATTCATATAGCTACCTAAAATAACAATAAAATTTTGAACCTTTCTTCCCGGCTTATGTAAACCTCTGGGCAAAGCTGTATCATAACAGCTCAGCTGATACGCTGCAGTTAGATTTTCATCCCGAGTTTTTTACATCCATAACATATAAGATGTCAAAAAGCAACAAAATATCACCAGTAATACACACATGACCGATAAAACTAGAGTTAAACACAAACAAGAAAATAGCTTACAGATTTCTTGCGGAGAGCGTCAGTGTTTACTAGGACGAGGAAAAGAACAACCAAATGCACCACGAATGCAAAGTTTCGGGAAAACATTATCTACAAAAAATACAGTTTGCGTTTGATAAGGCTGAACCTGTGAACAAGCTATAGAAGATTCTTAAATTACCAAGCACTGAAGATTGTGTTCAATATGCTGGAATCAGTATTCTTAATAGGTGTCGCCGTCGTGGATAGTTAATTGATAGTTTTTCACGCTTTGAATGCTTTGACGTCATGCAAGACCGGAACATTTTGGGGCGATTTGAAAAAATTCTTTCAGTTCTTCGCCAAACAAGTAAATATACTATTCAATAAGGAAAAAGGGAAAGGATAACTGCCATTGACGGATGTTATAGAATTCGAATCGATTTCAACAATATGACGACGATTTTCTTTTTAAATAAACAAAATACCTGTGCAGTTTTGCGTAAAATCATTAAAGCAAAATTACGACCGTAAAAGGCACAAAATATTCTATCAACAAAAAAAAACTATTTATGCGAAACATACAATTTAAACAAGTTTGTACATGACAACTAGTATAGTAGGGGGGGGCATAGTATGTAGTATATCGTCTAACGGTTCGAAACGGTTTACCATGGTTCTTTTGTATTTTTGGCTATAATGACTCCATGATGCCCATATCATATGAACTCAACCTCGAACAATAATGCAATGGCAGTGAGTGGTTGATTTATCTGATGCAATTGCAGTTGTATAAATCAGATCTACACCTACTTGCAGAAACGTTGTCATAGAAAATAGAACATTTGAATGTAGTAAAAAGGAATAAATTAAAACAAGACAAAAGAAAGCGTTCAGCCTCAGTGATCTTCATTTGTCTTTTTAAAGTTTATTCCTTTTTACTAAATACAAATGTCCTATTTTCTACGACAACGTTTCTGCAAGTAGGCGTAAATGCATATCATGGAAGTTGTAATGATGAGATATTACAGTCATTCAGCATACGATTTGGACGAGCAAGCACCAAAAAGGTAGATTAATATTGTTCCATACTTGCATGAAACAAGCACTCTACATCAAATAACTTATTATAGTTGCAGACTTTGACGGTTTTTTTTAACTCATATCCAGGATACAATTCGTTTTGCATATTTGGTATCCCTTTCATTAGCCCTACACACACAAACTGAATAAGTATGATATGAATGCGGAATGTTTTGCTTATCATGATCAGGTGAATTTTTGCCACTTAGGAACATAACTGGCAATTTTTGCCAGTTACGTTCCTAAGTGGCAGATACGAATCTAAAAAAGTTTTTGAAAATGGATGGCCCTTCAAGGGCTCCGTACTTTCATTAGTCCTACACACACAAACTGAATAAGTATGATATGAATGCGGAATGTTTTGCTTATCATGATCAGGTGATAATACCCGAAATTCCTTGCATTCTACCACATTTTGCAATCAGAGGGACAACTGTTTTAAAGCTGTGATGCTGAGATAATTTACAACCATTTRTATAAGATTGTATTTACAGATTCATTTAGGATACTCTGACATTTAGATTGTTACTCGCATAAAATCGCTCSATGATAAAACGTCGTATTTCCAAGTGAAATTTATCTGTTTTTTTTTTAAAGTACAACTCAACTGAAACTGAAATGTCAAACTGAGTATCCTTCAAATGTACAGCGAGTTTCTTTAACACCCTAAAGTGCTTCAGCTCATGTTGATCTTAAAAGCTGAAACTTAAGTGGTTTATAGATCAGCACATCTCGTGTCTTACATCAGAACGGTACATTTGTCACTGAGCCTGCAAATAGTTTGGATTGAAAATTCAGTCATTTGAATCGAGGTAATTCAAACGTTTGTTTATGTCTTTCATGCTGAAATCTCCCGCAACACTGACATGCAAGAAATGAGGTTCGACGCCTCGCGCTAGATTCAGTACTTCTACAGTTACCACCAAATTTATTTACTATATCATGGTTCTATATCTACTAATGCATTATTGTTATATATTTTTTTCTGGCAGAAATGGCCGGTTTGTATTACGTGATGTTCCTGTTATGTACTGCCGCCTTTCTACARGATACGATGCAACAACGTCGTCACGGCGGTGTAAATCAACAGAATAACTAACACTCTTCACTTTGCATGAATATGTGTTAATACATCCTTTGGTTTAAGTTGATTAGTTATTACTCCGGTTAACCACTTTTCGTGTATATAGGATTCGTCTTCAAACAGTCATGATGATGCATCAAGGGCATGTCCAAAAATCAAGAAGGCTAACTGCTGGGGACCGTGTCTCCCMGGCATTCCAGGAATCCCCGGTCTGCAAGGATCCCAGGGTCGTGACGGTAAAGATGGYCAGGTAGGTCCAGTCGGACCACCCGGCACTCCAGGAAAACCCGGCCAACGTGGAAGTCCTGGCCATCAGGGGAAACCCGGTCCAAAAGGGGACCCCGGCATTAGTRCATCGTTATCCAACTGGAAAGAATGCTCGTGGAAAAACATAAACGATGGCAAAGACARTGGTAAAATCAAGGTAAGAGTATATTGACTATTTAAAACGATATTTTCATGACATTATTGTATAGATACTTAGAAAGTTTGAATAAGGATAACAGTCCTCAGTCCTACTTTATAATAATATCAGAACAAGAGTCTTGAATATTATCATGAARGAGATAATGAACATTTCTACGCTGCTAGGATTGTCTCTTCACAAAGAAACGYTCTGATACAACCCTCCGTGTCTACTGGAACGGCGCACTGAGGATTTACAACTGTGACACTTGCTGTAAACGATGGTTCTTCACTTTCAATGGCGCTGAATGCTCAAGTCCTGGCTCCATTGATGGTGTTGTCTACACGTGGAAAGGAAAAGGAATCGATGATCTTCACCGCGTCCGCCATATTGCAGGTCATTGTCACGCCGTCCACAAGGGCGTTGTCCGCGTTGGTTTTAACGTGGGGAATTGTAACGGGTATGGTACCGCTGACGCTTATACAGGATGGAACTCTGTCAGCCGTGTCTTTGTAGAAGAAGTTGAACCTCCACAGAAATAAAATAAGCTACTATTGTTTCACTATTGTCATTTGTGGATGTTAAATTGGTTAATCACGCAAAGAAATATGTCTTAAACTTCAACTGTAACCACAAAAGAATAAAATCAGTTATACGTACTAAAGTTGTGCAATCAAATAATTGGGGTGTATAATTGAACTTTTATGAGATACGAAATATCTTCAAAACTCGGTGCGAAAAGACAATATGAGCCGAGGATAGAAATAGTGAAACGAAGGCAGCGCTGAAATCATTATGGCACGCACGGAAAAGATACAGTATAGGCAGTATAGCTAATGCATTAATGATATTTTGATATAATCATTGGAACGTCGTATTTAGGCTACTGTATAGAATAAAATTAGTGGAGCAAATGTAGTTTTACAAGATYTCAATTTATCTAGGAATTCTCATATGTGAGTTGTTCTTATTATTTAGYTGTCGTGACCGGAAAGGCATCATAGTTGATGTAAAGGTCAAGCGAAAAGGAAAAGAGAAGGATAGGCTAGTGCTTATACCGATTCTAAGGTATTTGGTGTTGATGGGGACGGTTCACGGGGCATCAGGAAACGACGGACAGAAATCAGCTGCATATCCTCCACAAATATATACATGGTACAATGACATTGACTTAATTTGCAACACACATTATGCGTTTATTTCTATAGTGTACGTAAAATTGTTGCACATAATCACAGTCACTACTCTATATTTTGTCTTGTATCAAATACAACTATTTTGGAACTATTTGGCATTAATTCGTGACACTCATGTCTCCGATTCTTCATCCTTCGCACATCTTTCATGAATTAAAGTGTCATGACACGCGTCGCTGTTGTTGAATTCCCGGATGTAAATGGGAACAAATCGCGTGCATGTGAACATGGTTTTGAGTTACAMKTGCACGCGCAATACTCGTTTATRAACTAGTAGCACTGTGGACAAGTTTTTTTACTCGTTTTGTATACTCAGGATTCTATAATTTCATCCATAATCTAATTTTCAGTTTGTTTCGTGCAAGCTACTACCGATGACCGCATGGACGGAAAAAAGGACATCATCAATGCCGGAATTCCTTCTTCTTTGTTCCGTTGAACATTGTTGAGTCATGAGTAAGTCGTTGTTGATGGTCATTTTTAACCGTTACTGTGTTGAAATGCGTCAACTTAACTATATGACCTTGCATATATCTTATATATTTTGATTCATTTAGGCCTGTACACAGTTGGTAGAGGGGAATTACCTTCAACTATGTTCTGTATTAAGTTGTTTCTATAGTCAGCATAATATGTGCTTTTTAGACTCCTATATTCTTAATCATGTATCTCTATAATAACTTTGCTTTTAATATTATTTGTAACATTGATTATAAATGAATAAATTGCTTGTCACTGGGTTTGAACATAGGGGCCTTCTACGCAGCTATAGACAACACTGTGCAGAGCTCATAAGTAGACTCAGGAACTTCATTCTCTAGTGAAAACGACGGTCTTTCTTAGGGTGAACTTCTCATCGGCGTCAGTGGCGAAGCTGGCCTAAAATATTTTCATGACCGCAATTACATGCTATTGATTACTAATTACGATGTCTGACCACACCGTCAAGATGGGAAACCATTGCTAAGTGGATCTAAATGGCTTATAATCCCTCAAAATGTAACGTGGTTTATTATTTCTCATAATCTTTTCAATGCAATTTATGTATTGATCAACAGATTTTTTGTGGCATGTCAAAGACTATGAACTGCTGGTTTGGTTTCAGTGGCGAAAAACTGTTAKATAAAATGTCGAAGCGGRCGGAAAAATTGTGCTAAAGAGGGATCAAAACTAAAGCGGCGTTAGAAGACCTGGACGGGGTTAATCTCATCACATTATTTAAAAGTGATATCATAGCAACCGGCGCTGAGCTCAGTTTGTCATTCTGATTGTGATGTGATCGACATGATCTTTGAAACTGAAGACCATATAAGATGCTTAAACTCTATAAACTTGTATCCAGTGGTAATGAAATCAGTTTTTTTCTCCTTAAAAATGAACAATAACTCCCTAACATTAATTGGAAGAAAAACCGAGTGCAATAGTAATTGCCAAGTCCTCTTTCTATATTTCATACTGGTTAGATGAAAAAAGGATTGTCAGAAAAGGTATGACAGTCAGTCAGATCAAACCGTTTGCTAAGTTCATTATAAACATAGTCTTCTAAGAAGAGTCAATGAAGAAAGAAGCTATGTCGGTATAATACATCCCTGAGTCTGTGCCCTTCATCTAATTGTTAGCAGCAAAGCGTTTCCTGGTGTTTGTTAGTTGCTCGGTTGTCTCGAGGTTGTTCCAGAAAATGCTTGACTATCATCATGACGTCATAGGTGTTAACAAAACCCACACAAAAGATTTGATTRTCAGTACTTCCCAAGGGAGYAGTCTTACCAGATATCGCTAATAAAAGCAAAACACAAGCAAACATGTACTATAGCGACCGTTAAGTGATCTGTGAAATTTTTTAACCTTTAGTTTTTAGTTCCGGTATTCAATCAGTTCGTATCAAATAACAAGTGATCACGAGGACTATCGGAGTACAGGTGTTTATTTAAACTCGCCTGGACCTACGCATTTAAACCAGTTGAGCAACAAACAACAGCACAAGACACGTTTCACAAAATGGACGAACTRTTTCGAACCGTCCCTGAACAAGCCATTCCTGTCGAAGCAAAAATAACTGGCGAGGTCCCTAAATGGATCAAAGGGTGCTTGCTTCGTAATGGTCCAGCCATGTATGAAGTCGGTAAACATGCATACAATCACTGGTTCGATGGTCTTGGCATGTTACACTGTTATAATATCGAAGATGGCAAAGTTACCTACACTAGTCGTTACCTTCGCAGTCAAGCGTATTCAAGGGCTCAAGAGAAAAGAGGAATTGCCGTGGCAGAATTTGGCACTCCTGTCCCGCCTGATCCATGTAAAAATATTTTCGCGAGGTTTTTTTCTCTGTTTGTGCCTCCAGAAAGAACAGATAACTGCTCAGTGAGTATCATGARCCTTAATGGACAGCTGTATGCTGGCAGCGATTCTCCCTTTGTCATTGGATTCGACCCATATACACTGGCGACAAAACAGTCTTACAACATGAGAAAAGACTCTATCGGTAAGAGAATATATCCATTTCATTTGTTCATGCTAAATAAAAAGGTTATACCTCTTAATTTCAAGAGGAGGCAACTGGTGAAAAGAAATGTGAACAACAGACTTTTTTCTAAATATTTAGATTYAGCTAAAAAAAACACACAATAAACAACCAAAAGGTCACAAAAATGAATTGTATTGAATCCAAATAAGTGTTTGTTTCAAGCAAGTAGCAATGTAATATTATTGCATCATTATTGAGAGTACGTTTGCATTCCATTTTCTATTACATCTATTCAGCGTTTGCAAGTGTTTTGACAAACAAAAACCAAAACATATATTGTTGCTGTTTACCTAAAGTGGACTATAAAGATCCTAATCTTGCTTTTAAAGTAGTATTTTATTATCTTATGYGAGCTCGCCAACTGAGCTGCTTGTCCAAACGTACCACAATACACGTATAGGCAAATCACATGATGTAAACTCAAGGGCGGATTGATATGTCCCGCGTCCAAGAGGTATTTGGACATTTGTGATGAACTGCAGTCAAATTTTACACAGTCTTTACTTGAACTTCTCGTAGTGACTTTCGGCAGCTTTTGAAGCGCTTTTTTTTTGTTCACTTGCGACACGCAAATCCCAATAGAATGAGAAGGARTTCCGCCATGTTAAAAGAGATTAATTCAAAGCAAAGCGTGAACCAATTGAGTTGATTTCCTAACTTGAAGTCAGAGAAATCACAGAATAACAATTTAGGTAGTTTTTATGAACTGAGTATCTACCATGCGATTCCACATACCATATAAAGCGATGAGATAGTTGTGATTTTTGTGCCCTTAATCCACACGTCCCAAAGTAGATTTKGAATAGACAAAATCACGTGATTACTCGATGACGTAACGCAAACCATACCAAGTAACAGCAGCTAAATCGATGACTTCAAAACAAAACGGAGTATTAAAAACGGAGTAYTAAATYAGCTGCTTTGTTAACTGCAGATGTGTCATTAGCAGCGCTGTACTTTATAAATGTAATAATGATAATCGTTAATTGATCAGAAATGCGGGTTGTGTCAATGTGCCATCAAATGACGTCATTACGGAAAGCACGGTTTGTAGCGGACACTTCGCTGACGTCCTAACGTGGGATTTTGAAAGGCCGTCGTTTCTCATCAGGCGTATTCAAAYCTATCGGAAACCATTATTTGTAAGAAAAGTTATATTTCCGGTTTGACGTGACATACGGAGTCAGCTTACATTTCACATGGCGAAAAATATCGATTTCGTAACTTACCCCTTTATGGTTATCGTAAGCGATAATTCATACAGCATTCGTTTATAGATTTGTTGTTAAGCGAGCTCTGATTGGTCCAAGGCCACGYTTAGTCCCTTGCAGGAAACTACGSTCATACCTTACTATGGAAAGAATGAGGAAGACCACAATCAAAAYCCACAAAACGYTAATCGCTAATTCTTCWTTCTATTTTCAGTACCGATGCGTCTATTTTCGCTGACCCCTCACCCRCATCAAGATGCAAACGGAACGATTTTGAACGTCGCTGTRTCGTTAAATAAAGGAACAAAATACCACTTCCTAGAGACCCCCAGYGAACCAACACCACCAGGCAAAGAAGAGCAGCACCCTCTCAAAGGCACCAATGTTGTCGCCACATTTGAACCCAAAAATAAACTCTGTTATTATCACAGCTTTGCGATGACACCCAAGTACTTCGTCTTCATCGAGAACCCGTTCGTGGTTGACGTGTGGCGATTACTGACAATGAAAATTCAAGGTAAGATAGCATGTGTGGTCTGGGCGTGGCTTCCTATRATGCAAGGCTTGGACTGCTTTAAAAGCTTTTAACATTCTTAAATRGCAGCACTTGGGATTGTGGTATGCACACCTATGYGTCATGTAACTAAATTAGAAATGGGGAAATTATTGCCAATGTGACAGTATCCTGTATAGTTAAATGCAAAATGGCACTCTAAGCGRGAAASACTAAATAGGAACATTTCATTCACAGGTCGCTCATTTCACGACTGCATGAAATGGGATGAAAAGCAACCATCACGATTCTATCTGATCGAACGAGAGACAGGGAAATGCATTGCACGATACACAGCCGAGAGTTTCTTTTCCTTTCATCATGTCAATGCTTATGAAAGTGAAGACAGCGTGTTTGTGGATGTTTGTTGCTACCCGGATGCTAGTATTGTTTATGAATATTACCTGTCCAACTTACGCGGCAAACCAGAACACGAGGTCAGTACTATCACTGAAGACAGATTAGGGTAACAGTAAGATTGATTATATACATGTATATGATGCTGGCTTTCAGTCCATCATTGTATGTTTATGTTGGTGACAAAAGTCTTCTTCACGGTTCCATGTGCCATCTTGAAAGGTAGCCTTGCATTGATAGAAGACTTCTTTTACACCTACAGACAATTATTTTAACAGGTATCTATCATTGCACGCTCAACAATCGTCTCGCTTCGATGCAAAGGCACGGCTACCTTTCAGGATGGCGCAGGGAACCTTGACGGAGACTAGAGTGATGACGATGATAATGATGATAACAGCTAGTTATTTGTACATAGGTCGCTAAAGGGTTCCCAGAAGGAGCATTGAGGAGGTACACAGTACCTATCCCATCAACCGTCAGTAAAAAGCCAACATTTGTTGCCMTACCAACCTACTCGGATGGCAAGGACTATAAACAATTAAAGTACGGCCTCGAACTGCCAGCGATCAATTATCGATTTGCTAACGGTCAACCGTACCGGTTTGTCTACGGACTGCAACAAAAGCACTCGGGAGACTTCTTGAATCAAATCGTCAAGGTAAGTAATGAGCACAGAAAGATTCCGACCTACTTTGCGTGGGCTCCCTGTGTGGAGACGTAGACTACCGTTACCTCAAATTCATTTGATTTTTAATATCTTGCAGTTCGATGTCCTAGCAAAGGATTCCAAGATCTGGTATTCCCGGCATTGTTTCCCTTCCGAACCAGTCTTCGTACCAGCGCTCGGRGGAAGCGAAGAAGACGACGGTGTCATCTTATCAGCGGTTGTTGGCACAAGAGGTAAAAAGTCATTCCTGTTGATCCTGGACGCCAAGACGTTTGAYGAAGTGACAAGAGCTGTTATCGACTGTCCAGTTACACACAGTCTACATGGAATGTTTCATCACAAGTCACCAATTACACCTGGCTCGGTTAAGAGGGCGTGGCCCGAGGCCTAGATATTGGATTTTACCATTTTRTTTGTGGAATGATGAATGGTAAAAAGAAGCAGTATATATCAATCAAGCCCAGAGTTAAAGAAATTCGGTTGCTTTTCCAGTGAACCAAAAACATTTGTCTCAAGAAAAAGGAAATACAGTAAAAACAGAGAATAATCTKAAAAGTTATAGTCCATCAGTCATATATGAAGAAAATGTATCCATGTTTACTTGAATATATCAAGTTGTAAAAAAGGTGTGACATTGGAAAAGGTACAAGGRATGTAAGTTTTCCTGGTACTATAAAACACAGCAACAAATTCGACTGAAAAAAGAGATTTTTTTGTACATCGAGGATCAAAATTGATTTGTAGACCAGCCAAGGTAGCAGCAYAAAATGGACAGCCTGCCGTTATCAATGTTATTGTAATTAGTTATTTATTGAACTCGATGATGATTTATTCGATAAAAATAAATATATCCAAAATTATGTTTAGTTTTTAACAGACCATAAATAATGGTATAATAAAGAGAGTGTTGCACATAAACTCGAATTTTTGCTTTGGTGTAGTTTAATTATTTTTTTCAAAAAAGGAAGCATGATATTGGCTATCATTGTTGATTAACTATATTTTTTCAATTTAATTTTTCTTTTACTTCTTCTTGGTAGCTTCGTGTTTTTATTCCTGTATTTTGTCCAGGCTTCAAAACTGCGAAAAAAAAGAAAAACACTTTTAATTATATTCATGCATCATCCAKCAATGTGATATTTAGTTATCTTTTACCTGGTTTCTTCATCGTCCAAGCAGAACTCATAAAAAGTGTACAGACAAGTGTAGTATACGTAGGTAAAAAATATGACCATTGCAATGTTGAGAACGATTTTGCACTTTGCGGGGAATACTAAAAATAAGAACGAAAATTACGTTTTACAACGAGATACAATTGCCATCGAATAGATCTTAACCAATGGGGGAACTTAGGGCGAGCGTACACCTCAAGCAAGCACAAGGTCTCTCTAACAGAGAGGAGGACCACAATCAAATGCAACTAAATAAAAGTTAATATACACAACCATTGTTAGTAGAGACTAACTATGACACAACGTTAAAATAAAGAAAAGGAGGGTCTTACCTGAATAGATAAAACAGAAACTGGGGTAAAATACTGACGATTCATCACAAATCATGACTGTGTATGCGAAATAACCAATGACCGCAGACAGAGCAACAAGGAAAAGACAATAGACATATGATAGCTTCACTTTGAATGACAAAACCTCTCTAATTGTACTATAGTGAAGTGATTCAATGACCTCCATAATGAAAAACATAACGATTTGGTCAAAGTTTTAATCGTCAAAAGATTTTAAATCATTTTAGCGCGCGCTTTCGGTTTGCGCAATTTGGTGACTGTAACATGAAAACATCAACAATAAAACCGCTGAGCTCTGCCTGTGGACTCGTGTAAAACAAAATGGCGGACGAGATGTGAAAAATGGTGTGATACAAACACTGGTGAATTAACACTCCAAAATGGAAAAGATCCAAGGGACAGCGGATGGTAACTTATTGATGATTGATATAATAAACTGATATAAGTGTTTTATGTAGTATTTACCTTATGCCTGTGATTTTAGACACAACGTGAACTTTCGCATTTCTCACTTGTCACAAATTTCAATGTAGGTTCTTTGTACCGCGATTTACCCTACAATATCAAGCATAATAAAGAAAAACTAGGTCTTGAGGTATGGTGATTTACTACTAATTTTAATATTATTTGAAAGTCTAACATTGATCAATATTTTTACTTCCACAGTCACTCAACTGCTCTGCCAAAGACTTTGTGGAGTCATTCCTTGAACAGTCAATCAAAAGAAATGCTAAAAAAGAAGAAATCAACGAAACACTTCAGCGCAAGCCCCTTATGCTGGACAGCGTCACAAGGAGAAAGACAAAGAGGCATAGAGTTAAGATGTCTGCAAGAGAAAAGAAAGAAAGAGGAATTTATGACTTAAGCAAAGGAGAACACAAGTATTATATGGAAATCCATATTTCAGGGATGTCAACCCCCGAACTTTATATATCTGGAGAAATTGYCAYGATTATGGTAGATTCGATCTGAAATCGGGAGTCTYGAGAGTTGACGTCCCTGCTATTTTGCCGAGAGGGAAACCAAAATTATAAGTCTACTATCAGTGATCACTATTGCTTTAATTTTTTCAGATATATCATGTATTTACCATTGCATAAGCTATGGAMAGACTACATACAGCAAGCTTTGAATCTAAATGATAACAGGTATGACCTGACAAGTGCTGCCAGTTAATTTTCTTCTTGACTGCATTGCAGATTTTGTACACTTTACTAGTAGTTGTTCACTTTTATTCTGTTGTTATTGCTATTTTATTGTAGTAATATCAAGGATGTGACAACAAGATTACTTAAAGTAGATTAYCATGGCTGTCTTATAACAGGTATGACATGGACAGCCGTGTTGTAATTCTTACCTTACCAAACATCATTATGTAATGCTGTCCAAGTGCTCATTAAACCAGAAATCAGGTTAAAACATGTCAAATTAGCATTACACGTGTACATTCCCTTTTATTACAAAAAGATATCAACCAAACATGGTTTCAATTGTGTCATGTGTTKTTTTTTATTTGAAGTTTCAATTTAATAACTGAAATGCATCATTTTCAAGTTTGCAGATCAAAGTGTCCATCTTAYATTGGAACTACTGGGATTATCTTACAAGAAACTAAAAATACTTTAAAGATTATAACCAAGGAAGATAAGATTAAAGGTAATTGATGTTCGCTAAATTCATTACCTGGTGTATAGTTAAAGCCTGGCTCAAATGAGCAGTGTAAATGTACAAACTCTCACTATCATATTCAAGACTTCTCACAAGAGCATCGTTTCTCATTTRCAGTAATACCAAAGGCAAATAATGTGTTCTCCTTTGAAGTGAACAACTTTGTGTTCAAGATATATGGCAACCATTTTAAATTCAAAGGGAGTGAGAGATCAACAAAGAAGTTCAAAGTCAAGCCAACAATAGATTTATAATACAAAAAAATAAAAGCAAAGCCCTGTACAACACCAGTGGCACCTTCATGAAGTTTCCATTGAGACAAAACTGCAAATGGCACACATTTAGTATCTAGTCTCTTCAAATGTGTGACTACAACCAGTGCTAGCATGCAATGAGCAGTGTTTGAATTCACAGGTTCTAC